TAATTCGTCAAATTTTTTTTAAATTTGAGCTTGAAACGCTAAAACAATTGTTTTTATAATGATTTTATACTGCTTTAAGGAAATCTTATAAGCCATTGTATTACATTTTTTACCTTTTTAATAGAGCGTAAAATATTTCGTTAACATTTTAGGAAATATTTTAAAATAAGTAAAATATTTCAAATGTTTACAAACAGCTCAAAAAGAGACAAACTATTTTATTATACCATGTCTAAAAAATGATAGTATACATGTTTGGTGAATCTTTTAAGCACCTAAGAAAATTCATTTTTGAATTGCAACAATAAAACAAAATCGATTTGGTCGAAAACTGGGTTTACGTAAATATCATATATTACCGTTTTACTTATATTTTTTTTAAGGTTTTTATGATTATTAAGAAAAGTATGAGGACATATTTTACCTTTGACCCCCCAAAGCAACTAGATCCATTTTAAAGATCAAAGCATTTTTTACCATAAAAGATGTCTTCCCACGCAAAAAAATCTAAAACCTGATAAGAATATATCAATTTATTGAAGTATATTATATACTATGGAATATAATTTAAATGCAGTAATATAGTAGGTACTTATATTTTACTTAGTATTTTACTATGCAAGAGGACCCTGAAGAGACTATCAACTAAATTCTGATAAAACTCTAATTTTAAGTAGTATTTTGAGTTATGATTTATTGTTTATTAGACAATTAGATTATGTCATAAAATATGGTATTTTTTTCCATACTTTATTTTTATAATTATACGTTTATTATCCGTGATTGGAAGTTTAAAAAAAAATTTAGTCCATCTCCATGTATGTTTTTATACAAAATTAGACTTTATTATCTATAGATACTCCTAAAAATAATTCTAAAGTTATAAAATAACATTTTTATTTAGAACAGGTGTTACTTTCTCCCCACCTCGTAGTCACATTTATGGTAATATACAAAAATCAAAATTGATGTACCCAACTATATTTCAATACTTGCCAATTACTACCAGTCTTATAATTCAGACCATAAGCTTTCCTCTCAACATTTAAATTTAAATTGCAACAATTAATCAGTTTAAATATTACCATCACAATTATTTAACTATAGTATGTTTGTAATTTTGTAAATACTAAAAATAGAATAATTTACGATGATTTATTTAAATAAACCTACATATTATATAATAAAATAGATGACATTGTTAGGTACATTTTATAGTTAAAAAAAATAAAATAAAAAAATATGGTTAATATTTTTTTAAAGAATAATGTATTTTGACACTTGTAAATTATTTGAAAGTGAATAATTTCTGATTAATTGCAAGGAATCGATCAACTATATTATTTAAGGTCCATTTGCATCTCGATTTGAATTAAATTAAGAGCCTTTCTGACAGTTATAATATTAATACAATACAATTTCATCATTAGAATCTCTATCTGTATACATTCATAGTTATATGGTTTATTTTAAACTAGAACTTGCAATTCAATAACGACAATATTTGTATCGACTTTTCAATAATTAATAGAAAAAAAGGTTATCCATTGTAATTTGTAATACAACATGCTTCACAGCATTATAGTTCCCATATTTAAAACTGGATTCCAGCACAATTTTTTTTTATTTTTACAAGAAAGAACAATAAGCACATTTGATAAAAGAATATACAACATAGTAGTATGGGGGAAGAAGCCACTCAGTGATGGGTACCTATTTTGAGTAAGACCCTACACAAATTAATAATTTGTATTGACACCTAGATATCTAAACATTATAATATTTAACTAGTGAGATCTTAAAAGTTATTAAATGTTTATTGTTTATTGTACAATTTTTAAAGCAGTTATGAAATTCTCCTCTATAATATTGGATAAAATAATTTGTGCAAACTCAAATCATTACAATATAATTACCTACCTATGTAGATAGAAAATAGAACTTATAGTTTTAGTCTAGTATATGTTTTACATAGACAATTTAGACATGTTTATATATAATATAAATTATAAAATTATAGCTACATGGTTTGATCCTTAAAGATATTAGTGCTGTCATAGAATAGAATAACATTAACTAAGTTTATTATTTGATAAAAGTTGTTAACAAGCATTTGTATTTTTATGCCTATGTATTAGTAAATAATTGTAATAAATGTAATGAATAATGATATTAGAATATACTATATGTTATTCGTTTAAAGTTAAATGAGAACGAATACAAACTTTTAGTAATTAAGTTTTTACATATAAGTTCTGTTGTTGTATTGGTAATCAAAAAATATATAATGATAAAATGTATATGTAATTTAGAAAAAAATACAATATTTACATTGCAATATACAATCGAAGATTTTGGACACAGAATTCAGATTATGACCAAAATAAGTATCAACTTCATAGTATTTTTTCACGACGTTGTTGTATTATTTTAGAGGATTTTTTTGGAACAACAGAAACTATATGAAAGTTACAGAAACTACCACCTTTAATTAATTGTAAATTATAAGCCATATTCAATTTAAATTCATGCCAAAATAAAATATTCAGTAATTAATTTGATTTGAACTTAAACTATTTTAAATTTGAATATAACGATAAACAATAAATTATATAGTAATTAAACAATGAACATAACTTTCATCGATTTTTTTTCTATTCGGTTTATTTTAGTGATGGATCAGAATTCCAAATTATTAAAATATTTAAATTTAGTATAATAAAATTACTAAATGAATCACAGTTTTTTTTAGTCAACCCGCTTTTTAAAAATAGTTTTAGAAATCTTATAATTTAAATAAAACCAATATATTATTTATGTTCAAGTTTAAAGTGCATTCAATAGAGAACTTTCGGAGTATTTGTATTATTTATCACAGCAACTAACAAGTGTTTTACGTGAGAAAAAATCTTTATATTTTAAAACCAATAGTTATTTACTTATATCTATAGTTTTCTCGTTGACAGTCCCGATCAAAATTATAAGTAGCCCACGTCAAATTTTGCAGGTAATTAAAATTGGAAAATACTTAAGTTCAATTATTTAAACCAACAGATGAAATATAAAATATAAAGCCTGCCTACTGCAGAGTGCAGAGCGTAACAGAACACTTTCCTCATTACAATAAGACGGGGTTGCATAATTAATCATAGCAATCCTAATTGAAAAAACGATTTTGAGTATAGCACATTATTTAACCAAAATTATATGTTTGTCATTTTTCAAATTTTAAATGTGAATACAAAACTATCATAAGTAAATATGTTTGTAGCTTATTAGTGAATGACACACCTACATGTAGACAGGTAGTATAAGTAAGCTATGATAAAAATGAAATTATTAGAATGTACATATTAGACAAATAAGTAGTTGAATTATTGTATTATCATAAATATTTACTGAATTTACCAAATATTATTATGTCCATCCAAATATTATTAAATAATAAATTAATAGAAAGGAAGAAATTATAAATTGAATTAATCTTCTTAATATAGAAATTGTATATTAAACATTTAATTAAAATTATTGCTTTTAGGTATAGGTATTATTCTGAGTATATATTTCTATTATTGGATTCTTTTAACGATTTGTTTAATGTTTTGAGCCAACATTAAATGTTTTATTACCAAAAAACAAGATTTGAAAATTAAAACACGTCATGGATATTAAAAGCTATGAATAAAGTTTTGAGTTTTATAACTATTGGTATTTTATACTAATATAGTAATACCATCGCCGAGTTAATGATTCATATATGGATACGATTCTGCAGATAGTGATCATTTTAAATTATTTGTTTGAACCTAAAGTTGCGTTAAGTACTAATTTCCAGGAAATTCAAGTCGGATTTTACATAAGTTTATGATAGGTAATCAAATCAAAAATTTAACCTTAAAAAGATAAAATGTATTTCCTCAAAAAAAGTTATAAATTGATTCAACTGGGGTCACATTTATTAGGGTATGGTATGAAAATTTGAGTATACATTTCTTGTAATTGGATTGTAGCCAATGTAAATTTTAGAGCACTGTGTTGAATAGTAATTGTATATATTATCTTAATTTTTCTTTATTCATATTTTGTTGGTAAACATGTATTAATAAATGCACATATTATCTTTATTGTGCAATGTAAGGTATTCTTTTTTTGTAAATAAGAGCCTATAAAAATTCAAGAACTTCAATAATATATAATATGGTCAGAGTAAGTAAAGTAACACATTTTTTGAGTTGAACAATTTATTATATTTGTTTGTTCTTCAATCAAAATTTTGAATGAACACTACTTATATGTCATATTATAACAATAAAATAGGATGTGTATTTTATATAAAAAAAAATATTGGAGACAAATTACAAATATTATTTCTAAGAATTGCTAAAAAAACATAAATACGACTCTAATATAGTAATATATATTTAAGTATAGACACTATTTTCAAAGTTACGAGTAAATACAAAATAACATTTTCGCTGGTACCTACCATAATTCAAATTTGATAAAAAGTTTTTTTTCAAAAAAGAAAACTAAAATTTAATTTAATTAATTAAAAAATGGTTTCCGAGAAAACTTCTTGGTAGGTACATATTATATTTTCAGCTTAAATTCATTTTCGTACCTAATATAATTGTATGAATGAAGAGAATATACCAAAAAGCTAAATTAGATTCACGGTGTAACAAGCAGATACTAAAGTACAACATTTATATAGTAGGTACTCAAAAAAATTAATTGATTAGGTACCTACCTAAGTAAATAACATAACGACACTACGTGTTTAATATACTCAATACCCGAGTAAAACACTATAATACTTAATTATATACAGTCTACGACTTAAATAACTCAAACCAATTAGTAAATTTCGTCTACGTAATCATATTCGACACGATCAAATCAGTGTTTTGAAATATTATCATTGTTGTATTTTTTTTTAAACTAATAAGCAATATAAAAAGTTTACAATAATTAAATTTAAATCGAAATTCTGGACTTACCGAGGTTTTCATTATCCGGCGACGTGTGTGGACGAATATTATCCGCATAGAGGGCGACGTTTCAAGTAAAATAGGTATGTCCCTGTGCTTATATATATTATAAATTTGACGTTGTTACACGAGCACTGAGAAGACGGGACCCGCGAAAACGGATAAATAAATCGCTTCGAATTCGGGGAGGGATAGATGAAAAAAACAAAACGGTTAAATTTATCACAAAGGGCGTCGGTTGAAACTTTGGCGCGTGCGAACTTACGACGCGGCACGTTCACTCGACGAATTCGCGGCGGCAGACACACACTCACACAAATACCACTGACACATGCGGTCGCGAAACGCGTACTCAGAGAGAGACTCGCTTACACGACACACGCGATCGTCCGTCCGCCGGTCACCGGTGATCTGCCGCGCGGTCACGTAACGCGTCGTTTACATGTACGATATTGTATCGTAATAGCGGTCGTGCCGGCCGGCGACGACGGCTTCCGTAGAACAGCGGACCGCCCGCGCGTCCGATGGTGGCGCGCCCGCGGCGGCGGCACAAAGCTCGCGTCGCGGACGTCACCGCTCGCCCGCCGACCCACGAGATACTCCGAGCAGGCTGTTCGCGACGACAAAGTTGGCGGGAAACCCTGGACCCCTACCCACTATGGGCCCGCGGCCAGGGTCGTCTCCATCGTCGCCAATATACCTCTAAAAGAATCCAGTGCTCGGATTAGGGGGGGGGGGGCTCAGAATGACCGAGTACCTCAACACAATGTTCAGATATTTTAGAGTGACCCCACTTTTTCTCAAATTGGGACGTACGTTACTTTAATTAGATTTTTTTTACAAAATTATAAAGTTAATACCTACATTAAAAATAAAATAACTGTTTATAAAATGTGTGAAAGTATTGATATTTGATTGAGTGACACATGATAATATTATGTAATAATGACGTACGCTATTTAGGTATGAACTATAAGATGATAAGTTGCCAGCGTCGTAGATAGGTATACAACCTTTTAAGAGTGAATGTTAAAAGACAAGAAAACTAAGGATATTTGACGCAACCGCAAAAAAAAATATAATAAGTTATCAATGAAAAATATTCTTATCTGTGGAAGTTATCAAATTAAGATAAATATAATTTTTTGTTTACAATGTGAAATGCTCTTATTCCGTTCATTCATTTTCTGCGGTATCAGCCTTAGTCCTTACACGTTTATTGATACACCTATTATAAGAATTTAGGATTGATTTTAGGCATTTGGAGAAAAATACATACACATTTTGAAGATATAAACGTCAATCGGCTTGTTAAATATACTACATAAAATGTTAAATAATACATACTATATAGTTATATAATAAATTATTACAAACAACCTATCTACTTTATTATTGATACATTTATAAAAAATACCAATATTACCTCAATTGCCTGAAAAGTACCTGTGCAAGCGTTGAAACCTTTTAAGTATACTTGAGTATAATTAGTTATGAAATGATTGTTAATTTGTGGTAATATGTTTGAGGGCGTAATAAATTAGTGAGGGATTTTGAAGTCCCCAAGCTTATATTAAGTATATTAATTGGCTGGGGATGCAAATTTCTTTTGTATTATCAGAGTTCTTCTACTATTTTGATTTTCCAATTCAAGCACCGCATTTATAAAACTGTGTGATTATGTTTTTTTTCCGATAAAAACCTCTGTGTAGACTGAATACAGCAAAAAACCTCTACAGTTGGATCAATCCGATTTTCGCTTTTGATGTCAACCATTATAATATTATAATATAATGAATTCTGATATTACAATGTACTTACACATTTCGCGACCATAATCTCGAACGAGCTCTGCAACACTTATCTTGACACCGCAAAAACAGGTGGGCACAATAGTCAACAATAATAATATATTATAATATTATTATCATATTATTATAGGTACGTCCGGGGGATCATTCGATTTGGAAAACTTTTCACTCGAAATTCAATTATTTAAATGACTATTTATTGTGTGTATTCAGACTTCAGAGAAGACAATATAATTTTATCTATATGACTATATCGTAGTTTAGTATGTACTATGTATATTGTATAATGTATAGACTATAGGTACTGTATATTATAGTGCTCTGCTAACCGTCATTATTATTCATAAAGCTGTTGTTGTTTTATCCGTTTTTTATTTGTTCTTTCCCTTTGACTTTGAACGCAATTGATGAAAATGTGGTTTTGAAAAACAAGACTGTATTATTATTATTATTATTATTAGTATTATGTGGTTTGAAACTATTTAATTTAAACCTTTGTAGTTTGTATATTATGAAAACGCGACGACGGGGTTCAGAGTTGTTTATCGAACGGGCGTAGGCCAAGGTCAAATTTTTTCAAATCCTCATATCCAAACATATTTTACAAAATTTTATTTTTTCTTAAGATGCTGTATAGAAGATAGTATTATATATTATCTATGACTTTTCGGCATTATTTCTATGCATTTTGAAACTTGGACTTTTAAAATATTTTAGACATTTAGAAAAGAAATTCACTGAACAACATCTCATTGTAGTGTTACATATGTTTCAACTATACAAAATACAAATGTCTCTCAAGTATAAGTGAATTTGATATGGTAATAAAATTAATAAAGAAACATTTATTTATATTTTATATAAGTATTTGATATAGGCTATATCTATATAAATCTAATATATATCATATTTTTTGAAATCAGATTTGATTTTTTTCTTTAGATCTCGGAGTGAAAGATAACCTACCTATAGGCTATATATCGTTCCACCAATATTTATAATTTTAAAGTAGTGTGAGTTATAAAAACTTCATTATCAAACCATTTTAAATTATTAACCATTGTGAGATACTGAGATAATAGTTAATAGTATATAATATAATATATTTTTATTTAATAATATTAGTATTATACGATTGGTATAGTAACTAGTAAGTAATAACTAGCAACTATAAAATATCATATAGATATAATTAAAAACATTTTATTCTGTGATAAATGTGTTCAATTTATAGAATCAAAATCAAATTAATTAAAAATAAAAAATGCTTTCATTTTGGAACTAGCAACAATATAGTAAGTTGTTATATAATTTATAACATATTATGCTAGGTACTAAACCGGTATGTTCAGCTTAAAATATTTAACCTTGATCTCTATATTATAATCTATTACCTATACCGATTATATTTCATAATTTTACCATAGATAGGTACTGAAATATTCGAAATTAAAATTATAATTTCATAACCGATTTATTTCCGATTTTAGTTTTGATTCTGATTGATTTTAAAAATTACCACATAATTATAAACATCACAATGATTATCTTGAAAACGCCTTTCCGTTACTAGTAAAATAATATAACTACAAAATATTCTTTAGGCCAATTTTTCAAATAGTTTAATATTGTTATATTATTGTATACCTAATTGCAGACAACCGCCATCGTGATCTTAGTCCCAACAGAACATCTACACTTTTACAGGTGTTTCGACCACAGTCATTTACAGAAGTTCAATAACTTATGCAGCCGTGTTATTTTCGGAATTTCCGGACGGTTTCTATTTATAGGATTCCACCACGACGTCCACTGATTGGCCGTGGTGAATGTTTCCCCGAACCAATCGTGTCCGTCCCCTCTACCATGACGCGATTTCGGTGTAGGTTAGGTTCGGTGTAGGGATCATAATATAAGGGATAACCACGGGTGGCACTTCTATGTACACGGGGATTAACGTTAATAAATTATTAAAATTATATATGTTAATAAAGTTACTATTTGACCCTAAGTATACATCCAACGGTCAAGACTAATTCATTATATAGAAATACAGTCTAAATAACTAAAATTTAAATAAATGAGTATTTATTTAAATTAAATTACTCATATAATATTACGATCCGAGATTGTTTTCTAATAGGTTTCCTGGTTCCTATAGTTATTATACTTATTTATTTATGGATTTATTGAACATTTAATTTATTTACATTTAATTAGTTCTATATAGTACATACCTATTAACATATTAGTTATATATTGATTAATATTGCGTGCTGGGGTTTAGTAAACAACATACAATAGAAATTGCTTGATGCTACATCACATTATTTTTTAATTTTAATTTGTATATTATAGAGATTACGTAGTTTGGTCGTATTTACCGACGGATTGTACAAAACAATACTCAAAAATAACATAGGAAATTCACCCGGGACTTAAGATTTTCTCCGATTTATACTGTATTTTTCTTTGTTGAATTTTTTTCATAACATAATTTAACAATATTATGCATAAATTACATTTTTAAGATAGATGTTACCTACTACAGGTAAATATTTTTTATACACCTACTAAAAATCAAAGAAAGACTCATAACGTGACTATTTCACCAAGGTTTAACTTGGATTTGCAAATTTTACTTAGTAATACACCATACATGCATATTATTATGATAATATGTAAATACAATACGCTCAAAATAACGCCAATATACAAAGTAAATATTCAGTGAAACTAATGAATAGCTACGGCTATATCGGATATCCCCACAAAGAGTCTGAGTATAATATAGGTTTCATATCTGTTTTACCTTGTCGCATTGCCGCTTATCCTAAGGAAACGATCGACGTTTTTCGTACTTTCATTGGACCGGAAATTCTGTGGTTCGCAAATATAATACAACACATCATATTGATTTTAAACATTTCATTATATTATATACGCACATAAAAGATTTACAAGACTCGTTCGCATTTTCGTCGCACTGCATATCCGCACTATAAATATTACTCACATATTAACATAAATATTTAATTTACTTATCAAAATGATTGCACACAATAACGCAAAAACGGTTTGATCGAGAGACGAAAATCGTAGAAAATCAGACGATAGGACAGGGAGAAAACAATAATGCGGTGATGAGTATCACCGCTCACCGCCATGATTGTTGTTGTCGTTCTCCACTAAGACTGACCAATGCCGGTAAATATCACTCAAGAGTATTTACCGCATTCAGAGTAGACTGACGCGGTTGACGAATTCAAACCACGGTCCAGGTGACAGACTTAATACCATGACCGCAGTACATACTGACGAGTTTACATAAACTGTCAGTTTCAATGGAAAGCTCCGTCGACTGATTCTCAATAATTATCGATCAAATCGTTTTCGCGTCGACGTTCGGGAGTGCGGAAAGTGCGTTGTGCAGTTACACGAAATTCCGGCGAAACTAGTCATGAAAATACGTATACATTCCGAGAAGCTACAAGAAGCCGAGAGAGGCGCTTCAAGATATCTATATATGCTGTTCACAGGTACCATTTACGGGTTTACCGCAGGGACGCTTCTATGACGGTTATTAAGAATTTAATGTAGTTGCACATAGTGCGTGTAGCGTAGTGTATAGGTATATTTTAGGTA